TAGCTAGCTCATACAGGGACAAACACTTTTGACCTTGAGCTCATTAGCAAAATGAAGCAATCAAGTGAACTAGCACATACAAGCTTAGGACAAAAAAGAACATCAATTTTTTGATTAATTGTAAATGTCTAAATTGAGAGTGAGGGCATGAAATTTCAATTGGGTGAAGAAGTATGCACTTTAAAATTCACCTGAAATTACTATTTAAGCAAAAATGCTTCCATTCCACACTAAAAATATGCATTTTCCCAAACTCCTTAAAGCAGAGGTGTTGGAAGCGAGCTAAAATACACATAGGAGGTCATGTTGCAGTTTCGTGTGGCTAATTAGAATTCTGATGAATATAAAATAGAAGCAAGACAAGAGCACAATATTTCCATTCATTTTACTACTCATGTTTCTGCATTTTAATCAGAGCCTTGTTAATATTTAAGTATGCCTTTAAAGCCCAAGTGTATATGAAGGCATGGAAGTTTCATTAGTAACTATAATTTGTATAAAAGACTATACGCTAAAGACAAATACTCAAATATAAAATTTAAGTGGAGTTTTAAAACTGACCTTATGGCATGGGAATATAAAAAAAATTGCAGCTGGAAGTTAAATTATCTTTAATACTTCCAGTGTACAATATGGTTTATTGCTTATTGAGAGAAGCTAAGGTTTTTATCTTAGTCATATTTCTCCATCAGCTATATATGACTGTGTATGTCAGGCTACTTGGAAATGGGAAAACAAGAAAAGGATCTGCAGGGAAAGAGAGACTGTCATCACCTGAGATGCCTTATGTTCCACAGATCTCTGAGCTATGCAGCCCTCAAAAGAGACACAGTGGAGCAGAGAGAGCTGTCACTGTAGAGCTGTGACTCTTTTCTCCTTTAGCAGTCATGCTTCAAATGGGTCCTCTGCAAAGGGATGGCTTGAAGTAACAGTCACCATTCCTTCCTGACAGCAGTCTACCACAGAACAAAACTCTCTGGAATGCCAGCTGAAATGACTTCAGTGTGCTGTCTTGTACATCCATAAGAATACTTAACTACCTGTCTTCTGGGTACTAAAGGACAGGATGGAGTTCGTTGTCACCAACAATCCTCAAGTCTTCCTTACAGTGTGGAACTTACTCTTTTATTAACCAGAGGAAAGAAATCAAGGGGTTCCAACACATAGCAGACAGATTCAAACAAATGTCCATTCTTAGGAGAAGCTGTAGCTCAAGCGTTGCTTTAATTTTAGTTATTAGTACTGAGTATGCACTGGACATTAAATTAACAGAGAAAAAATATAATTTTAGAGTAATATTTAGCAAATAAATATATGCAAAGCTTTTGTGTACAGGGTCAAAAGGATACTTGAAGCAAAACTAGCTTGAGTTCTCACAGTTTTAGGAAGTTAGTTGACAATTTCTACCACAGATCATTGATTCAGATGTGTCTGGATCAGTTCTTTGGCTCAAAGCATAGATTGTGCAAAATCACCCCTACATATAAGCAGCTACTATGTGTAAAATGTCTACTTGCCTCCAACTATGATTCCTGCCAGACTTCTACAAAGCCAAGATAGTAGAATTATCTTGGAACTGCTCTGTAAGAAAAGAATTGCAAACCCTTCCAATGCTCACTGCCCAGCGTTGTGAGACCTCCCGGTTTCCCTTCACATTTTCTCCCAGGCACATTTCATCCCTTTGTGGCTCACCATACTTCAGGCATAGGCTGACTTACTGTCTGTGGCAACTTCTGTTCCAGGCTCATCTCCGGTCCCATGCCTGGAATGTTCTTCCTCCGAAACAGATAGTGGCTGTGTCAGAACTGTCATTGCTTCCCTGAAGGGTACTTTCTTATTTGAGCCTACTCTAGTGGATTGTCTTACTGAAAAGTGCAGCTAGGGACATTTTTTTTTGTCTATCTGTATGTCTGTCTGGCCAGCTTCTGTCTGTCCTGTCTCTGTTTCTCTCTGTATCTGTTTCTCTCCCCCCCATTAGCTTTATTAATGTTAAATTGACAAATAATTTGCTACATATTGGGAAATGATTTACTAATCAGTCTATCATGTCACCTTTTTTTTTTTTTTTGGTTTTGCTTTGGGGAGAGAACATTTGAAATTTACTTTCTTAGTCTATATTTCAGATACAAAGCAGTATTTCAGTATTTTATTTTTTTCTCATCGAGTTTATTGGTACTTTTTAAGTATGCAATACAATCACATTTGTCATTCGGATCTTGTACCTTTACATGACAGATCTTGATTCTCATTTTTTCCCCTTGTCCCTGCCCTCCCTTCACTCCCTCCTCCCTTCCCTATTTACAAAGACTTTGTAAAACATAGTATTTCAACTATAATCACTTTGGTGTACATTAGATGTCCCACATTTGTTAATCCTATAACTGAAAATTTATGCCCACTGACCAGTATGTCCCTATTTCCTCACCTTTCAACCCTTGCTGGCCACTGTTCTGAGTGCTGCTGTCCTCCCTCCCAGTTCTCCCTTAATTTGCCCTAAGATTTTTTATAGCATGTATCACAAACATAATATAAGATTTCCATAATAACTGTGTATTGTTAATTGTGTTGTTCCTGCCGTGAGATGCTCTGCCCCTACTGTGAAAGCAGAGAGAATTTAAAAGATGAGCTTAGCAGACATCTGGGTTAAAGCTGGCAGACAAACCATTAAAAGGCAGAATCCATGTTCCTCACGAGGTCTCAAGGACCTCAGAGGCTTTTTCTACCCCAAATCCCTCACCAAGGTGCCCTAAGTCACAGGTGTTCACGATTGCAGGAAGCCGAGTCCCCTGATCTCAGCAAGAGCCTGCACGGAGAGCAGAGGCTGTGGGAAACGTGTGCACACGTGAGCCCCATTCCTCTCCTGGGGACAGATGGCACGGCTCCAAGCCCCAAGCATCTCCTTCACAATACTTCTGGATATATTTAATGACTTCATTAATTTATTTTTCTGCCCAAGATACCAGAATTGCCAACCCAATTCTTTCTCTCTATATATCTATCTATATCTTTTGTGTTTTGTTTTGTTTTTGGTACTGGGGATGGGACTCAGGACCTTGTGCTTGCGAGGCAGGCAGCGGAACCACTGAGCTAAATCCCCGGCCTATCTATCTATATCTATATCATCTATATCTAGATCTCTATCTGGATATATTTTTTACTAAAAAGCTAAACTATGACTAAGGAGAGATTTAGGTATTTAGAAGCCTAAAACTCATTTCTGAAACTCATTACCTTAATTTCCTTTTTTATAGATAAGCTTTGCAGGATCACTCTAGGTTCTAACTTTTGATGTGCTATTTTATAATTACCAAGGGAATGTGAGCTTTTGATATCTGAAGTGTTTTTTATTTAAATCAATGTGTCCATTAAAGAATGTATTATTGTACATCAGATGGAATTAAATGAACCATTGTGTGAACTTGGCATTTTCAAATCGATTTACCTGAATGTAATTACCTGCAGACAGTTTCTAAATATCCTGTTCATGAGGGATTAGCTTTTATGGAGAGATTCTCTTCCATTCTCCTCAGTTTTCTTTTTCTTGCAATGGTTTTAGTAATTTTGGTTTATTGTGCCATCATGTTCTGCGAAGGACAATGATGAAAATTAATCCTGAACTACCAGATTTAGTACAAAACAAGTTGAGAGCTGTTTACAAAACAAATGGACAAGGGACAGCTTACAAGAAAGAATGTCCTGGTTTTGTGCCATATGTGAGTTGAATTATCCATCCCAATCCTAATAATATTGAAATTTGGACACATTTCTCTACGCATTCAATAGAAATTTTCAGGAACCGATTCCCAAACTGCCATGCTGCATTTCATTTCCTGATGGCATTTTAAAAATCCTATCGGTTGTGAACAACATGAACATCTCCACATTTTGTATCATTTCCGTCTTGTTTTCTTTGGGAGGAAGCAGAATGACATTGTCTGAGTGTCACCTCTCTATGGAGAGCGCACCCTCTGCTGACATTTACTGTGCAGCCTGTGTGCTAACCACGTTCTTACTCTGTCTTCTCAAGTACTGAGTAGAGGGCACATATCTCTTTCCTGCACTGTTTCGTGCACAGTTGCTTTTCACTAAGCAAATGCATATTTAGATTGTTGGAAAATGGGAATTCAGAAATCCATTCGAAATTCTCCTTACTCTGTATTTTAAAACTGTTTCCCTATGTCATTTCTTAAGCAGTTACTATGTTTTCTTAGAGCAATCAATGGGCAATATCTAATCTGAATCATATGGCATCAAGCAGTGCAGAAAAAATGTGATATATAATTTTGTATTACTTCATATACTATTTGCTTGTATTTTATGAGCCTCGTAAACTTTCCAGTGACTTAGGTAAGCCAGATAATGAATACACCATTTTTCTTTTTATCTTTTTTCAAGCAAAGGTATGAGAAATGCTATTGATGTGAGAAACTGGTGGTTTTTTTTTTTTTAATGAACATTTAATGAAGGCAGGAAAGAAGTACACTCTTCAGAGTGAGCATGGACGAGGAAAGAGGTTCAGGGGGCCAGCAATCTGCTTTTAGAGAATTAAACTAGAATCACATTCTAAATTACATGATGATATAGAAAAATAATAAGGAAAAAGGCTGTATTATGGGAAGAACTATAGCTCAGCAAACACATGCCATCAGTTGGTGATTAATGTTAGATTATGTTGAAAATAAATCATTTCCACATAAGCAAATCTTTCTGCTGCTATTAATATAGGCCAGACATTTATATATTATATGTATTATAGTTTTTAAATTGCAAGCCACAAGGAAAAACTTCAGTGAAAAGTAGTCTGCAGAATGGACTCTGGAGTCATTAGCAGGACTCCCCAGAAGTAGACTTGAAGGCAAAAAGCATAAGTGCTCTAAGATGGGGATGACAGGAGTGCTCACGTGGGGTCTTTTTCACATCTCTATTAAGGTACGAGTCATAGAGCATACGGTCCACCCACGTAAAGTGTATGCATAGAACATTTCACCCATTTCTTCCAGCCTCGTGTTCCTCACTCAAGTGTCCGAGTTTAGAGTAGAGCACAAGTGGAAAGAGCTGCCTCTGGAACACAGTAAGCATCTCCACAAACAACCTGAGCACTTGTAGAAAGAAGAATAAATGCAGGGTGGTCAAAGGAACAGGTCCTGGTCCTTGTCAGTAACTTCTTACATTATTTGGGGAGCTCAGATTGACACATGAAGGAGTAAAAGAAATTTTACCGTAGTGGAAGACAGAATTATAAAAAAACCCGCATTTCATTCGCTCCACTGAGGCTCTAGCACACATGGGTTTTATTCCCATGCATATATTATACCTGACATGGGAAAGATACAAAGTTATTTTGCAGATATAAAGTTATTCCTCAGGTGACTTTAAACTAAGATTATTCCCACTGAGCTTGACCTATCACATGCACATTTTCAAAGCAGTTTCCTCTGACAAGTAGTGTAAGAACTCAGGGAGACTTGAAGCGGCATCGGGATGTAAGACCAACTCCAGGAGAAGCTCTTGAAGACATAGTGTAACCTCTGACAGGCAGCCCTCAGGAAAAATACGGACTTAAGGTTACTGCTGCACACAGCAGCACTCTGCCTGCCACCAGGATGAGCCTGGAAGTGGGTAATTTCCTAGAAAACTAGACCAGAGTCCAGCCTGCCCAGTGCCTTCATCTCAGGTTTGTAAGTGCCTTAGTAAAAAAAACATGGATCGGGGGAATCACAAAGTAGTATTTACATTTTAAAATCTTATTAGTGCGCATTTGCAGTACATAATGTTTACACTGCTTGTGTGGAGTACTGGTACCTACATAATACAGGCATCTTAATTTTTTAAATCTCTTTTCTCTTCACTCCCTCCCTCCTCCCTTCATCTCTTTATCTCTTTCTCATTTGAGAAAGATCTGTGTCCTTCTTTCCTATTATCTATCTTCTGTTTTGCTCTTATTTATACTTTGTGTTTCCCCTATAAGAGAAACCATATTTAAGCTTTTTGTATTTGATTTATTTCACTTAACACTGTCATCTCAGAGTGCATCTACTTACCTGCAAGTGACTCAAGCTGCTAATTGTGCACTGATTTTTTATGCAGTAATAGAAAATGAATATAATTGCCCACAGGTGAATATATTAAAAGAATATTAGTGCTGGACATGGTGGCGCATACCTGTAATCCCAGCACTTGGGAGGCTGAGGCAGGAGGGTCTCTGTGAGTTCGAGACCAGCCTGGGCTACATAGTGAGTTCCAGATCAGTCTCAACTACATAGTGAGACCCTGTCTCAAAAAACCAAACAGAAAACAAAACAAAAGAATATTAGTATTACAAGCATCTAAATAAATGAGGGATAGGGAGTACAGTAAGTCCCCAACTCATGAACATTTGAGTTCTGAACTTTCTGATACAAACAGACTTCACGTTACATAGATGTGAACAAATCTCAAGCAGTCCACGTGTCTGCTGGACACTGTCACAGTTGTGCTGCTGTGTGTACTGTACAGTGCCATAGTGTACAGGAAGACAGTGCTCAATCAGAGCCCAGGATGTCCGGAAGCAAGGGGAAAAGCAGTGGTGACATGGAGATTTGGGTTTTTTGTGTGTGTGCTTTACATTGTATGTTTGTGTCAAAGATGTGTAAGACTCACTTGATCTGTCTGAGGATTGAATACAACTTATATATATTCCCAAATGAAACTCGTTTGTAAGTCAGGGGCTTACTGTAAAGTGAAAGAAAAGTTTATAATGATGTCCAAGTCTTGAATCAAGGATCTCAGAATAATAAGTGGATACATTAAAAAAAAATGCATAACAGTGAGGGCTATTGATATGTAAGAAAAGATTGTGTGAATGGGTGTGAATGGTATATAAGAAGACAGGATTATAATATAGCATCATAAAAATAAGGTCAGAGAGCTGACATTGAATTGTTGAAGCTCTGAAAAACTGTGTTGATAAAGGATTCTCAATTCTTGTGAGAATATCAGCTCATGTGAACTTTAGAAAACAACTACACACCAGGAATGCATCTCAGAATAACAGAATCAGATTCCATGGAACATATCACAATGTCTGTATTTCTTCTGAAACACACATGGGTGATGTTAGGAATAGTGAGGATTGAGGTACACTGCTGAGGATTCTGGTCATCACAGAAATTTAACGAATCTCTAGAGCTACCAAAGAGTAGAATTCTTTCCTCTCTTGACCTCTCTCCCTTCTTTTCTTCCCAGTTTAAAAGGAAGAGGTCAGTTAACCTAGATTGAGTGTAACTTTGTTCCCTTTTTATGGTTAATAAAAATGATAGAGAATGCTATGAGAGTATTAAAGCATTAAAATGGACTAAACATTATTCCTAGAGTAATTGGACATTTATGTTATTACTTCATTAATATAATCCATCTCATTCACACTATTTAAAGGTATATATCTTTTTTTTTTTTTTTTTTTTTTT